AGAGATGTGTGTTTGATTTGTTACTGTCACTCCCCGAGCTGCTTGCATACAGTAGGTGCTCACTAAATGTTAAGTCATAGGGAGACAGAGGAAGGCTGTGAATGGGCTCTCCTTCCTTCTGGTGGTGCTAGGAAACAGAGTCTGGAAGAAGGAAAGGCCGGCATCTCCCAATAGGGCCTGGCTTGTGTGGAACACTAGACAATGAACCATAAGGTCCCTGTGGGCAAATCTTAGGATTTTGCTTTAAATGGTACCTCTGTGGTGCCTCATAGTAATAGGCACTCAGCAGGGGTGTTTTGAAAAAAAGCAGCAGCCATAGCTTGCCACTTGTAGATGCTAGTCCACAGTGTGGCTTATAAGGTATCACCAAATCCTGTCTTGCCCACGTTGCTGGTGTACCCGACACTAGTGTATTAACTATTTGCAGGGAAACTTCAAGACCAACAATGTCTTCTGGGTGTTGTCAGTTTTTACACACCAAACAGCCAATAAGAGTTCAGCATGAATGAAGAAGAAACTACACATCCCGGTTTAGTAGAAACTGCTACTATCAAGGCAGAAGAGTTTTCCTCTTAGAGAGTGCTGATAGGCCAAAAATGTGCCAGGAAGCAAGTTTGCTTTGGTTTATATAAGCAGGAGGGTAACGATTACTTCCCATGGAAAAAGCATGCCACACTCATGCTTTCCACCAAGGCTTTGCTGTTCTGTGAAATATCCCAGGGCTTTGATATCTTTGCAACTGAAAAACATCAGGGCATTTTACCAGAAGAGAGAATTTGGTAACTTCAAGGTAGAGGGACATTTATTAAAGAGGACAATTCCAGAGAAGTAGCAAGGCCCACAGTCTTGAAAATCTTTTCATTTGTTTCAGAGATACATGCCACTAGGACATGGCCCTATTCAGAACATTCAGGGAATGTCTTTGGTATTACTGATACCTTAACTTTTTAATGCCTAAGCATCTTTATTTTAGCTGTTTTGGATAGGGAGTTTTCAAAGATGAAATTTATATACCTAATTATTAAGAAGACCATTTTGACCACAGGACCAATATAAGGGCACAGCAATGCCACATTTAAAGGGCTCCCATTCAAACTGTAGACAATGAAGATCCAAATGGTTATTTGAAAAAATTTCCAATAGATTAACAGTAAAGTGTCTTATTTAAATAACCATTGATAATATAGTCTTGGGACAGATGAAAGGAAAGTATTCCTATTTCTAATTCCCAATAAATGTTTTTATTGATAAGTTGATTCATCATAATATGAATAAGATGCTGTTCTCTAAAGCAATACAATGTTGCCAACAGACTCACATTAAATGTCCCTAGACAACAGTGCTATAGATTTTTCATTTTCTATCTGTGTGCTTTTAGTTAGAGACAGTTTGGTAAATTATTGTTGATATTTCTGCTTATTTTATACCATACCTGCCTTTCTAATCTTCTGTTTTAAAGCTATGTGATTGAAAACTATGCTGTAAAAATAATTCAAATTATGTATAAGTTGAGAGGTAAGCAGGATTTAAATAAAGATTTGAAGAGCTTTTCTATGGACTGAAAAACATCAGGGCATTTTACCAGAAGAGAGAATTTGGTAACTTCAAGGTAGAGGGACATTTATTAAAGAGGACAATTCCAGAGAAGTAGCAAGGCCCACAGTCTTGAAAATCTTTTCATTTGTTTCAGAGATACATGCCACTAGGACATGGCCCTATTCAGAACATTCAGGGAATGTCTTTGGTATTACTGATACCTTAACTTTTTAATGCCTAAGCATCTTTATTTTAGCTGTTTTGGATAGGGAGTTTTCAAAGATGAAATTTATATACCTAATTATTAAGAAGACCATTTTGACCACAGGACCAATATAAGGGCACAGCAATGCCACATTTAAAGGGCTCCCATTCAAACTGTAGACAATGAAGATCCAAATGGTTATTTGAAAAAATTTCCAATAGATTAACAGTAAAGTGTCTTATTTAAATAACCATTGATAATATAGTCTTGGGACAGATGAAAGGAAAGTATTCCTATTTCTAATTCCCAATAAATGTTTTTATTGATAAGTTGATTCATCATAATATGAATAAGATGCTGTTCTCTAAAGCAATACAATGTTGCCAACAGACTCACATTAAATGTCCCTAGACAACAGTGCTATAGATTTTTCATTTTCTATCTGTGTGCTTTTAGTTAGAGACAGTTTGGTAAATTATTGTTGATATTTCTGCTTATTTTATACCATACCTGCCTTTCTAATCTTCTGTTTTAAAGCTATGTGATTGAAAACTATGCTGTAAAAATAATTCAAATTATGTATAAGTTGAGAGGTAAGCAGGATTTAAATAAAGATTTGAAGAGCTTTTCTATGGAAAAAACTCAGAAGTTTCCGAGCGTGGATTTTATCAAGGGTATTGGGATAGTCAGAGACTCTGTTTCCTCGCCCTCAGGCCTGCTGTGGATAAGGAGAGGCTGCCAGGTAGCAGAGTTCTTGTCACATAGGGAGTCTCAGAAAAATTTGAAAGGCCAGCACCACTGAGAAGACAATGATTTTTTTGTCTTTTTGCCTACAATGGCAGAAATTCCTTAGTGTTTTCAGATCAGAAGGTCTCAGTGGGAGTTCTCACCTACAGGCTTCTACCCCAGGATGAGAAATAACTTTGGTATTCTGAGGCAGGCATCTTGCTTTAGGAACTGATGTGGAAATGAATACTTCTCACTTCAGGTTTTCCTCTAAGGACTTAAAAAGTATTTTGAAATGTCAATGCCAAATTCCCCTTGAGTTATACAAGATGAAATTGGAATATCTACGTCTTTAAAAGGAAAAGAGACATGGTCTTATTACAGTTATCACTGATGCTAATAATGCTCTGTGCTACTAGCAGCTATCACGTGGCACCTTCGATTTGCAGGGAAACTTTAAGGAAAAGCCCCCATTTTCTTAAGAGGTTGTAATTATGTGGCCCCTTATTTATAGACACAGAAAGGTGATACTCAGGCAAAATAACATCAAGGAGGGTTGATGGCCACGGACCCTGAAACAAATGAGGAAAGAGTAAAACAGGATCAGGAGTTCACCTTCTTGACACTTCCCACAACTTCCTTTTTGACAAAGATTAATGGGACCAATGTGAGGAGACTTGAGAGCTGAGCCTTTGCAGCCTACGAGTGCAAAGAGAACTTTACCAAGGGCCAACCAATTTCAATTGCTGAGTGAACTTTAGATATCTGAGTTTTGTGATCAATGGGCTTTTTCTGTGATGTTAAAAAAGTTGAAGATCAAGTTTTAAAAAATTCACCACACTGAACAAGTGGCTTAAAAACATAAATAAAATAGAATTAAAGAATTTTGCTTACCCTATAAAAACATGTAAGCGTGATGCATGAATTGTTCCAAATTCCATTCTCAGAAGCTATTTCACCTGGCGCTCTACACCTTATATTCTCCTTAAAATGTTTTGCACAGGAAACTACTTTTCTTATTTACAGTGATGGCAAAAATGAAAAGCCATAAGAACTAAGTAAATAATGATTGGTGCTGGTTGCATAAATGGGTTAAATGTGACAGTTCATAATAATATAAACCCTCGACAGTTAAAAGAGAAGGCTGCACAATACAATGTAGGTCTGATAAGAGAATCCAAATGCTAATTAACTTTCACAGATATACTACTCTAATTGCATTAGCACTATCTGGATGCAATAGGAATAAATGCAATGATTAGGCTCTTGGATTCATACTACATAGGTGACCCAAATAAACTATTTCATAAAACTGCTTTCAATGGCTGATATTTTAGGCTTAAAATAGCTTTAAGAAGTCAGAAGAGGAAGGGAGAAATTCCCTTAAAAAAGAGGTTTAAAAGAAATGAAACTATGTAAGGCAGTTAAAAAGCGACTCTACCCCATTACTTACAAGATCATTCCCTCAGAAACAAAAGTCTTTAGAAGAGATGGACATTCAGTAGTTAGAAGAATACTATCTCTTCTGGTGGACAAAAATCATGAGAAGGTTTGACTGGCCCAGAGGGAATTGTGTTGAAACCATGAGTAAAGAAAGACGGCAGGCAAGGCCTGAGTTACTGTATCTTTTGGGAAGTGAAAAGCAGTGAGCTGAGGTCTGGGTTTTCTGATTTACCCTGAGAAGACAAAATGGTAGGATGAGAGCCCGCTGGAAGGGGACTTTCCAAAGCTCACATCCAAGCAGCAGGAAGGGAAGGTTGGAGGAGCCCACAGCAGGCACTTGCCCAGCTGTCCTGAGCCTTGATGACCTGGTGAAGAAAATCATCAGGCTGCAGCCGGCAGCAAAGGCCTTGTTCAGATGGGATTTGTGACAGCTGATGGCCACCAAATAAAGAGGAAAGAAGGTTGGACTGAAAGCTTGCAGAGCAGACCCAATGGGACATGGGACAGGGCACCGTAGTGACCAGCCTCAGTCTCCTATTCTGTATATTGAGTAAATGAATCACTGAGGTCCTCTTCAACTCCACAATTTGATCTTGCAGAGCAATAACACATTGAACTAAACATCTTACATCATTTAACTTTCACTCCCTAAAATAATCTTATACTATTTATCATTTACGGAAAGCGGTCATAGGGAACATTTTAACAATATACTTAAATGTTGAAGTTTGTGTGTAGATGTGTGTGTGCCAACACGAATAAGTCAAGTGCTGATATCTCTGTCATCAGCAACAGCTGCCATATTTGCAGGCACAAGGTGTTAGGAGAATATAACCAACACTTTTCAGTGTTTGATCACTTCCTGGGATATTGTTTAATAAGGAGTTGGCAGATATCTGTCTCTGTCTCTGTCTCTGTCT